CCAGAAGTTGTGAATGCTCCAACACTGAAAGTTTTTAAGAAGATGTTGGATATCCATTTGTCTGGTGGTGTAGGGTTTCCTGCCTAGACAGGGGGTTGGACTAGAAGACCTGCAAGGTCCCTTCCAACTCTGCTATTCTATTCTATTCTATTCAGACATTTTTTGTCTCATAGATAGAAGCAACCTTTAGAAACAGTAAAGAGTGACCTTTTCATCTGCTTTTACTGGATTCTTGCTGCAGGCCTTCCACATCCATTTGCTATCACTGTATTTGAAGATAGCTTGTACTGGACAGATTGGCATACCAAGAGTATAAACAGTGCCAACAAATTTACTGGAAAAAATCAAGAGATCATTCGTAACAAGCTTCATTTCCCCATGGATATCCATACTTTGCATCCTCAACGCCAACCAGCAGGTAACTGCAGACAGAAAAGGCAAGATATTATTGCTAAAAGACAAGTGTTCTATCACAAGATATTGACTAGCAAATACTTCCTCAATCTAACATTCTGTGTAGAATATAAAAATTGTCTTCGTGATTCAAATCAAATTGTTTGATCAATGCTATACATTCAGAAAACATGCAGTGTTTCCAAAGACAGAATCCCAGGTAAAAGTGAATAGCTATAATGTTTTTTTAGAAGCAATGGTCAAGCCGCTCCCCACATACGTAAATTCATAAATGATGATATAATATGATAATCTTTCATTATTGTTGTTGTTATATTACTATTGTTGTTGGCATGTTTCTTTGTACCTAGAAAAAGATTTCCTAATTAATCTGTCTCTACTATTGTGAAAAAATGTTGAATTGCTATAAAAATCTTCATTAATTTTATTCGTGCTTTACTATCCTGGTAGTATTAAAGTCCACAATTTAATAAAAATTACCACTGGATTAATACCATTACTACCAGTGGCTTATCAGTATGTTTCATTGTTATATCATGAAAATAATTTTGAAGTATGAAAAGTCTATGGCTATATCCTTTATAAGTCAGTGGTGAATATTTCTATTTTAGAAATATACCAGACAGATACAAATGCACAATCAGTTAAGCAGTTCCAAAATAGAACCGGCTTCATTGTATCTCTGGTTCTTTTCCCTGTATAGGTTATGGTATTTGTGTTTATGTGTATAGCTATGTATATATAAAATATGTCTGTTTGGCTATTCGAGCAGGGAGAAATCGCTGTGGAACCAACAATGGTGGTTGTACTCATCTCTGTTTGCCAAATAATAAGGGCTACACCTGCGCATGTCCCACAGGTTTTCGGAAGACTGGCGGCCATACCTGTGCCCAGAGTAAGTGTGATAAGGACTTTATGTACCTTCATAACATGTCTGTGTGCACACATGTAAAAGAGATTAAAGAGTTTTAGCAAAATTACATTTAAATGATACAGTAAATTTCATGTGAAGGGGTCGTGAAGAAAGCATTCACAATAGATTGCCAATATTACCACCTATTTATGAATTGATGACAAGATGACATTTTAATTTTTTTGTGGTTTTTCCAAATTTCCATATAAAATATAGAATATTTTTTTCCAATTTTATAAACAAAACAAACAAGTCAAAAGTTCAGCTGCAGAAAAACACCAGTGGAATGATGAAGGATTTGGGGTATCTTCTCTGCAAGGAAAGATGGAATTCTTATTTTGGGGAAATAATAACATATTTCTTAGCTTGATACTTGCTTAATTGGAAAATACGATATAAGTATCTCAAACAACTAAAAAGACTGCTGATGTAGGAAGATTATGGAAGTTTATAAAATGCTGAGAATGTAACGGTAGAGAGAAGTTGGATAGAGATAATATTAGAACTGCAAGTTTAATGAAATAATTTGTCTGTTGACAACCAATTGCTTTTCCACACAATGCATAGTTTGTAGAATAGTTTGCTTCTATATGCAATGACAGCCTGTGACGCGACCAATTTTTAAATTTAGTTTATTAATGGAAAATTGGATTATCAGCTCTTAATGCTATAAAAATTACATTGAACTTATGGGGTCAGAGGCAGAAGAAAGTAAATTGCTAGAATTGCTAATGAAGGGCAGTTTTTCATTCATTTTTTTCTTCCTGGGTTTTCTAAAGGCACTTGACTAGCTAATGCTAGCAGTGGCACTGATGGATCCTGAGCGAACAAGTTCATATTCTTCTTCCTAATATTTAGAATAATGGAACTGCCAATTAATGTACCTTGTCATGTCCTTACATACAGGTACATTTTATTTAAGAGCATGCTCTTTTTTCTTCTAATCCTAAAATCCTTCTTTCAACATTATATACCGTATTTTCACGACCAAAAGCCGCACCGGATTATAAGCCGCAGTATCAATTAACGTTAATT